AGTTTTGAAATATCATTTCCTATTAGGCAGTTGTGTGAGCACTGACAACTTTGCCCCTCTTCTTCCCTGGAGATTAATTTATTTCCTGCAGTGCTTGCTCTTTGTGGCAAGCCTCCTCGTCAGCCTTCACCAATGGGAGCTCTCATCAGCAGAATGTTAATTATAAAAGCAAAGCCAAATACAGTATTAAAAGAAAAAAGAAACTTCTCAAGACAAAGCAATGTTTTTCTTTTCCTTTTCACTCTACTTCCCACTCAGGCTGTGGCTGAACAGAATCATTATCCACTGGAAGAATATTCCACAAGGTGGTGGGGTACAGTGGAATTTGAAAAGGCTTTGTAACCAGGCGGACACAAGACTGAATGAACTCTAATTCAAAGAATGACTCATTCTTTGTGATTTTGTTTTGCAATATTTAAAATTAGAGTAAAAAATGTCTACCTTACAGAAGAGTTTTTGTAAATTAAAAAAAAAAAACTTAATAATAATGTTAAAAACACTTATTTAGGATTTTTCTACATTCATGTTTTCAGTCAAAACTATGCCATTGCCTGTTTTTGTAAAGCCCAGAAGCTAAAACATTTTATTCTTCTTGATGGTTTAAAAACATAAACATACAATCTATATATTAGATTATACTTTCTGATTTACAGAAAATTAAAATTTCAATGTCTATAAATAAAGTTTTATTGAAACCTAGCCACATTCATTCATTTACATATTGTCTCTGACTATTTCAGTGCTCTGTCCATAAAGCTGAATAGTTGTGACATGTTTGTTCTCTTGTTCTTTAGAGAAAAAGTTTACTAACCTTTACTCTAGAGAGTCTGATTCAGAGGTCCTAAGCTGTACCAGGAAACAATTTCGGCATATTTCTCAGGAGATGCTGATGCAGGGTGTCTATGAACCATTTTAAAAAATAATGCAATAAAAGAGTTGTGAATCCTCTTTCTTATATTGTCTCTTATCACATGTACTCCACTGGCAAGATACTACTGACTTAATTTTCAATGATATCTCAAATATAACCAGTTCCTTTCTAATCCACTTCTATCAACTTAGTCCAAGTCATGCACTATAATCAACCATCATCGCATCAGGATTTTTATAGTGTCTTCCCCACTAGTCTATTTGCTTCCGCCCTTGTACCATAGTGTCCATTCTCAACACAAAAGCCAGAGTAAATGTGATCAAACCTTTGCCAAATCCTAGAATTCCTCTCAGAATTCATAGTAGCCTCTCCACTCCTCCCCCATCCCATGGCTTTAGTTGTGTCAGCCACATACCTGATTCTCAAAAACTCCAAGGAGTTCCATCCTGAAGGCTCACCAAGTCTGCTTTCTCTAATTGGTTTAATCTTCTACTGATCTTATGGCTTTCGGTGCTGTCTCCTATAGGAAGCACCTGACCTGTTATAGGTTCTCAACACCGAGCATGAGGAAAAGATTAACATTAAACAGAGATGAGTGGGGGGAGAGAAAGGGAGAGAGAAGGGAAACTGTATGGAAATGGAAGGAGAGCCTCATTGTTACACAAAATTACGTATAAGAGTTTGTAAGGGGAAAGGGGAAAAAAAAACAAGGGAGAGAATTGAATAACAGCAGATGGGGTAGAGAGGGAAGATGAGAGGGAAGGGGAGGAGGGATAGTAGGGGATAGGAAAGGTAGCAGAATACAACAGTCACTAATATGGTATTATGTAAAAATGTGGGTGTGTAACCGATGTGATTCTGCAACTTGTATTTGGGGTAAAAATGGGAGTTCATAACCCACTTGAATCAAATGCATGAAAGATGATACGTCATGAGCTTTGTAATGTTTTGAACAACCAATAAAAAAAAAAAAAAGAAAGAAACCCCAGACTTCTATTTTGTAATTATCTAATTGTATTTTCTGTAGGCAAAAACAGTTGCCAGGAGTACAAATATGACTCATCTCTGAACAATGGTACAGTATCCACTTAATCACTGCAAATGAGGGAAACAATACAGCAGCTAATAATGTGTACCATTTGTTTATTCAGACTCAGCCAACAATGTCATTACAAAAGGTACTAAAGAAAGGAAAGTAGGTGGTTGGTACAGACAGGAGAAGATAGATGGAAATCCTGTTGAAACTATTGAAGATAGATTCCATGAAATATTCAGAATAGAATGCAATCACAGAAGGTGCCGGCTGACTGCAGGTTTTACTGTTCTACATCAGATTGAGCAACTTTAGGAGTCGGCAACTCAAAGTTCCCAAGAGGGAGCATGAGGTGTGAAAAGCATGGATTCAAATTAACACTTTAGGAAATGTCGGCTTTAAAAGGGAATGCAAATCAATTTTAGATATACTTGAATTTGATTCCTCTAAAATACGAGGAAATGGAGATATTCTTTCACTTCAATCTTCTTGTTCAAAGAATTACCCCTCTGATTTTATGCTTATAACTTCATTTTGTGGACTGAACAACAGGTTATTTTTACAAGAGTATGTATTCTGACTATCAAAGGGCACTTCTTTAGCTTATATGTCTTACAGAGAAAAATGAAATAAAACTCAGCCTGTTTTTCTATAGCTCAAGTGTTTGGCTTGCTCTTCATGGAACTTAGTCTATATGACTCCGCATTCCTCAGTTAATTTATCATTTAAGCATTTGGTTTGGTAAATATTTAATGCAGTTTAAGAAACCACCTCTGGTTGAACTTGGGATGCTTCCAAAAGGAATGGATGATGAATTCCTCAAAAAGAGTAGTGTTTCAAATAAATTTGGGTTTAAAAACAAATAATTGTGTGAAAAAACAGTTCCTTCACATTTTGAGATTTCTTGAAAGTTAATGCGATGAGGAACAGGATTTCCAGCCTATGTGAACTCTTCTGCTGTATCCATAAGCTGGCCACCAGAGTATGGATATTATGTAGAAAATCCCCACTTAGCTAATGATAGGGCCAGCTCAGGAAGGGGAGAGTGACTAAAAAAAGCCCCCTCTAAAATTCACATGGTTAATCCCATTATTTCACCTTGAAATAACATATTTATTCTAATTTCCTCACTTCCTGTTTTCCTGCTTGACTATGTACTATCTTAAATCAGCTTATTGACAAGGGAGAGTGAGACTAATAACTGTCAAGATGACAGATTGAACTTTCTAACCACAGGCCTATAATAGTTTTATGTGCATGTGAGATGGTAATAGCAGGTAATATTTCGGTAGCACTTTATGTTTTACAAAGCACTTGCAGATCCATTATTTCATTTGATATTTCTTGAACTCAATGATTCAGTTATTATTATCAAACTTCATTCACTGATAAGGAAATGAAATTCAGAGATTCCTCAAAACGCACCGCCATTGAGTTGTAGTCTCAGGAATCAGAACTAAGTCCTCAGATTCTGTTACTTTGTAATACAATATATCTATTTCATTTTTCCTTATCTCCCCCCAGCAAGAAAAGCAACATTGTGAAGTAAGAAATACTGTTGTTATCCCTTTTTAAAGATACAATCTTAAAGATAGTAACTAATAGAAGTGGGAATTAAATCTGGGCCTACTGCCTAAAAATCTTGTTTCTTTTATCTATAATGTATATTCTACAGTGGCTAGTTGTATTGATATTTGTGATTTAAGAAAGATCTAAAAGATCTGAAGACAGCAGTTGGGGAATCATGAGGAGAGAGACTTAAATGAAAGAGGACACAAGGCCCTGGCTATCTTCCCCATCAGCCACTGATGACCCAGACTCCAGCCCCAGTTAACACAGAGAAGTGTTATTGACAAAGAAAGTAAATTCTTGTCATTAGGAAGGTTCACATGTTCAGAGAAATTCTATTTTGACATCAATTTTTTTTTTCTCAATTAGTCTGTGAACTCCTCAGAAGTCACAAAGCTGTGTATTTTATTTTCGTGTTTCACATGACTCATAAAAATTACTAAGAGTTATTGAGACAGTTTTAGGCTTTTTGTATTTATAGATCTATTTAATTTTTGTAGCAGCTTCATAAAATAGGCATTATTATCCCTGCCCCTCTCCTGTTTTTAAAGATGAATAATAGGCCCACAGGGTTAGATAACTTACTTTTGACTATGCTACTATTAGTGGCAGAGAAAGAATTCAAAGGATAAAGGAAAGGAAGGGAGGGAAACAGAAGGAAGGAAGGAAGGCAGGAAGGAAGGAAGGAAGGAGGCTGTTTTAGGTCATGACTATTCAGGAGCAAAAGATAAAGAGGGCTCGTGTCCATTTAAGTGGCCAGCACTCAAATGGTCTTTAGGATGATCAATGTATGGGCAAACTGGAGGTTTCTGGTTCTCTGTGCCTCTTGACCACTGTAGTGTTTGCTAGTGGGGCTTTTTAAGCACTCATTCTCATTCTTCACAAAGCCCTGGTGGGAAGGAATGGAGGATGGAATTCCTATTTGCTGTACTTGGAAGTCTGGATGGACATTGTATTAGTGTCAGGTCTGCCTACAGGTTAACTCAGAGCTTTACATCATGCAGCTTATGCTTGAGACCTATAGCTCCACCTTCAATTTCCCATGTGCAGATGCCCACTCCCTGCTCTGTGGTTATATTCTGCAGGTCTAGGACATCAGCCAGAGTGTTGATCTGGAATCAGATATTTTTAGATCACCATCAGCTTCAACCCCTTACTAGCTGTATACTTGCTTGGCAGGTCACAACTTTACTGCGGCCTACCTTGCACTGCCCATAAAATAGAGTTGTAATGAGGGTAAACTAAAATGCATGGAAAAGCATTCTGTCAACTGAAAAACACTTTAGGAATGGAATTATGTATTATCTCCTATCTCACAGAAATGTCTACCAAATATCTGCAGAATTTGCATCTCTTCCATTTATTTTATTTTATATTTTGGCTCTTCTTATTTGGTTCCCAATTATTTCTGAAAAGCATATGCATGTGAGTCTCTTACAAAGAGTACTTGAAAGCAGATGGTTTCCTTCCTGGATGGATTCAATACGTATTTTTGATGGACCCCTCTTTTCTTTTCTTTACTTGTAGAAATCTTCAAAAATGAAAAACATCAAAAATAACAAGATGTGATGGAAGCCACTTGGGCAGTGAACATAAATGTTGCAAAGGAAATGGAACCTTGCCTTGAGCTGAAAACCAACTATCCCCAAAGGACGCCAGGAGAATTTTCACTAGCCACTGCAAAGAGAGAACAATCTTAAAATTTTAACAGATAAAACTCAAAGAGAGCTCTATGATATGGAATTCACATCGACTATTTTGTTGTGCCAAAATCTGTATGTATTGTCTCATCACTAGGCATGTTTATTTAATGTGAACAGTTTTGAGTCTCTGGTTTCCACTACCAATAATTAAGCAAGTGAAAATATTTTTGTACTTCAATTTCTATGTAAAATTGGTTAAAAATAGGACGCTAGCTCTCCACATATTTTTATCCTTTTTTCTATAATTTATTTTGCCATTATTCTAAGACTAACTTAAAGAAAAATAATCATATCTGAGAATGATTTAAAATACCCAGGTTTCTTATGTGATTCCCTGAGAACTGTGGAAATGAGTTTGTTTAGGAGTTTGTTTTATAAATGCACTGTAAATAAATGTTTTGGAGTTTCAATAGTCAAAGCCTTTGTGAATTGTAGAAATTTTCCAAAACTTCTTCCTCTAGCTTCTGAAAATCCTGAGTTTATGTCTTTAATGTATTATGCCTTACTATTTTGTGTACTATATATTAGATAATTCTTTATATTGATGTTTACTAGAATTGTAGGAAAACAATTTAGGTAATCATAATATTTGGTGCAAATAGAAGGGCAATAGAATAGTAATAAAATATAAGATATTTGGGTGACTAGAAGCCACAGTGATCTAATTATTGTATATTAGAATAATACTTAAAGTTGTAGATCTGTAAAAATGACTTTAAGAGCAATCACATTTGACAATTTATCTTATTAGGCATGAAGTATATAGAAATGTTATTTTTTTTCCCTGTGAAAATGAAGAGACAGAATTTATTTGGTTAAAGTTACGTACAAAGCCTTAGACTTTTTTTTATATAGGTCATACTCCTTATAAAAACTCACTTCAACTCATAATCAACTTGGACTATATGGAGAACTTATTAGATGATTTAGCACCAAAGAGTATCTGAGAACAATAAATCATGACACAACTTTCCACAGGGGGGAAAAAAAAAATTACAGTTAGTGATCTTTGCTTCAGTGTTTATATTCCGAGGTAGCTTACTTCCCTTATCTTTAAAAAAAATTTTTTTTTCATTTAAAGTTGCAATAAATCCTGATTTCCAGTAACCTAAAGATTGTTTAGTGATTAGATTGTGGTAATATCACTTATTATCTACACTTTCTGAAGTTATATGAGATGATTTGGCTTCTGTTTATTTTATCTGTTTATGCCCATAAGAACAACATATTTTCAAAGTCTAATTTTGAAGACAAAAGAGATGCCCACTCAATCCTACAGCTGTAGCAAACTGCACCAAGGTGTTTTTGGACTCATAGGATTTGTTGTTTTTCAAATAGAGGATATTTATTGTTATTTGTAATTTGATATAGGAGAATAATTAGATTTCTACTTTTAATAAGTATAATTCTTTGATTATAAAATTGAGACAATGCATATACTATTTTGATTATAAATCATCAAATTTTTTGTTGGAAGTCAAAAACTAATAAAACAATTTTACATACTGTGTTTCCAATTGTCTTATATTAAAATTATAATAAACTTTGTGCTCACCTATGGAAGACATTAGAAAATTGAAAATAAATTTTATAATTTTCATCAATATATGTTCTCTGCCATGTTCAAAATAATCAACTCCCTATAATTATTAAATTAAAAATTATTTATCTAGTGTTATGGTTTAGATATTAGGTGTTCCCCAACATCTGGACAATGCAAGAATGTTTACAAGAGAAATAATTGGGTTATGAGAGTTTTATCCCAATCAGTACATCAATCCCATGATGGGATTAACTGAGTGGTAGCTATAGGTAGGTAGGGTATGGTTGAAGAAGGTGAGTCCCTAGGGGCATGCCTTTGGGGTATATATTTTTTATCTGTTGAGTGAAATCTCTTTCTCTCTCTGTTCCTGATCACCATGAGAGCTGCTTCCCTCTACCACAGTCTTCAACCATGATGTTCTTCCTTACCTCAAGCCCCGAGGAATGGAGCTGGCTGTCCATGGACCATGACTTCTGAAACTATAAGCCCCTCAAAACATCCTTGCTCCTCTAAAATTGTTCTTGTTGGGTTTTTTTAGTCACAGCAGTGAAAAAGCTGACTAAAACAACTAGGGTTGAAATAATTTTTCATTCCTAAGGACAAGGCTGCAGGTGTCAAAGAAGTCAAGACAGAATAATTTTCCACGCTCTCCTCATCTCCAATGGCCCTACAGTGCTGGGCCCAATCACCAATGACTAAATTTTGCAGTATGGGTATGCTGCATAGATAGATCCTAAGACTACCTGTTATTAATGCTATAAATTAATAATGTTTCCTTCTTCATAATTCAGTCAGTTTGAGGAATGAAAATATAAAGGAAGTGAGAAATAGAGAAGAATTTGATTCCTTGAGAGGAGCTGCCTAAACTCTTATAACAAGGACTTTAATCGAAAGAACTGTTGTAAGATTTGAGTCAATATTTAATGTAACTTCTAGATATTTATCCAAAGGTTTCTGATCCAAGTGACTTCTGAAAGGAAGAGAATACACAAAATGTGTTGAAGGAAAGAGCAATAATTGTTATATAAATATAGATTGATAGGTTGTAATACTAAAACTGGAATCAAACAGCAAGAAAGCATTCTTCTAAATTCACTATAAAACATTTCCAAAATTTTACCGCTTTTTTCTGTTTCCACTTCTACTATGGTCCAAGCATCAATCATTTCTCAGGTTACTACAATAACTCTGTAATTGTTCTCTGCATTATTTCCCTTGCTACCTGTCATTCTATTCTTACTGCAATAGTCACAATGATCTTATTAAAAACTGTGCTACATGTAACACAGTCACTGCATATCTCACTCAGATTCCTAAAAGGATCCTGATCCTACATAATCTATTCCTGCTATCCCTCTGGCTACTTCTCTCCCATGTTCTCTTTTCACTTTTAAAGTAACTTGATCTTGGCATTATTCATCAGCCAGGACAGGATTGGTCCTGCCTCAGGGCCTTTGCATTTGTACTCCTTCCTGCCTGGAATGTTTTTGCTTGGTGTTTCATGAAAGTCATTCACTCACTTTCTTAAAGTTTTTACCCACATGTTGTCATCTCAGTGCTGTCTGCCCTGACCATACTTTCTCAAATTGAAACCTCAACCCTACCTGGTCTTTTCCATCTCCTTCCTTCTTTTAATTTTCTTCATAATACATTTCACTTACTATATATTTTACATGTCTAGTTTATTTTTGTTTCCTTTACACATCAGTGTAAACTCCCTGAAGGCAGGGATTTCTGTTTGGTTTGTCCAGTCTACTTGGGCACTTAGAATAGTGCCTGACAGATATTTGATGTTCATTTATATATTTGCTGAATAAACTGATGAGAATTTTAAATAAAATGTATGAGAGATAATTCCATACTGGTCAGGTCTGAATTCTGTCTCAGCTGATTATTAGGTTTCCTTGGAGAAGTTTGACAACTTCCTTCTGCTTCAGATTCCTTGGTGTGTAAAACTGGGATGAAAATAGAATCTACATCATAGGTTACTTGTGAAAACTTGGTGAATAAATACATGCAAAGTGCTTAGAGCTTTGCTTGACAATTTTTAAGTCTTAAATATATTTACCAGTTATAATTGCATGAAAAATATATTTCACCCTAAACAAGATGTGAAATGTTAAGACAAGTCTTTTTATTGTTAGGAATGTGCATCTTTTTTTTCCCCATTAGCTATTTCCTCCCCACTTCCAATCATGTGCCATAACAAATACCTGTCTAGTTCTTGTTGTCTTAAATTAGGTTCCCTAGAAACATAGACTAGGGTAGAGATTTTTTGTTCAGTGTTTTTTGAAAGAGTGTTCCTAAGAGTGTGGAAGTGCAAAATAATAGTACAAAAGAATCTAAGCAAATGGGTGGTATCATGACAAGCCCAAACTCATCTTTCCAGCCTCATCCCCACAGGATCATGCTGGGGATGATCAGATGATCATTTCAGCCTTCAAGCGTTCCTCTCAATTCCAGAAGGTCAGCAGTCTCTGGATGATTTGGTATATAAAGGACAAACAAATCTCAAGAGCATGTCCCCTTGAAGCAATATTATGCAGCTCTCATATTGGGAGAACAGAAATTCTGCAAGCCCTCACATGCAGGTTGCTGGCTAAGGCACTGTGTAAATGGAGGGTAAATGCATACTTGGAATAGGTGTTGATTCCTGTTAGTACAAAACCTAGATGGAAGGAGTCCAGGGTAATAAAGTTGTTGCCAAATATCCAGGTGGCATCTTCAAAATATGGTACCGTATCAGGGAGATAGTGCTTACCGTTGGTTGGTCTTGGTGCAGGAATTTAAACAACTTACAGTTTCAATAGCTACATCAACTTTTGGAAGAAAGAGTTCATGTTGCTGGCCCCAAAACTACCTTCCTATCAGCCACCATTCTTACTCTACTCAGGACTCCTTTGCATAGTTCTGAAGTGACTACCTAGAAAGGTTGATTGATTACCTAGAGATTGAGTCATCTTGTTTAATTGATTTCATGGTGCATCCTCTGCAGTGGATGCTCTTGGATAAACACCAAAATGTGCTATACAAAATTTATGCTTTCTGCTCACTCTTATAGGCATAACTACATCCTCTTCTGAAGATATCTTTATCCTTCATCTTATAAGTGCATTGTAGGTGTATGATTAATCATCTTAGACATTAGTCATTGAAGTTTATTTTATCAACTTTTATAAGAACCTTACTATGAACTCCATAGTGTCTTGTGGGAATAACAGTAGTTGGTAACTTAAGGGTTTAGTCACTCATTCACATGGCTCATTTGTATCATCTTAACCTGCTTAATCCCAGTACAAGATATGACACTTCTATCTTATAGGAATTTCCTCACCTAGAAAATTGGTGTGTCTCATAGAAGCTATGAGGGCAGCTGCAGTCTTAAGATAGTCTGCCAGGGCCCAGTAGCATGGTGACAGCTGCCTTTCAGATGGTAGAGAGCTTTGCCATAAAATGTTGTGACAACTTTCCTGGGACTACACAGTAATTATTCTGTTAGGGCTTGCTAGAGTTTTCATTTACTATCTACCACTAAATAATTCTAGTACCATTGGGTATTTTATATTATATAGGGGAGATGCAAGTCCTCTCAAACCACAGATGTGACCTGAAATAGTACCTTTTTTTGTTTGGGTCCCATTGAAGCCAGAATTAGACGGGCAGTCAGTATAGATAGGTCAATTGAGTCAGGTCAGATCAAGGAGGACAATTTGAGTGAGTCTGGGAAGTTGGAGACTGCCCTCTGAGGGACTGAAATACCTTCAGAGCCCTTCCACCACCCTATCAAGATAACCTGTCCCTGCTCCACCTGTTGCTCAGGTAACCTGTCCCAGGAATCGCCCCTCCCTAGAGGGAGTTATAAAATTGTTAATTGACGTGTCCTGGGCTGCTCCATCCTGCCCTTCTCTCTTCAGCCCACCTGGTTCCCACCTCTTGGTCATCCCACTGAGCATTTCCTGGGCCTACTCATGAAAACAGGAAAGAGAAAGATAAGGGGAAGAGGGCAGGAGAACAAAGGAAACCTCAGCTATATAAAAAGGCAGAACACCTCACTTCTTGGGATACCAGGATACAAGCTATGGCCCTCTTGTCCCTCCTAGGAGAAGCCTATGTTACCCTTTTTTAAATAAACCCCGATTTATATGCTTGCCTTGGTGTACTTCTGTTGTGTTATGCTTCAACACTGAGGGAGCAGAACTCGTCTCCAGTAACCAGTGGTCTCACCATGCAAATTGTCAGTTCATATTTTGGAACCTGATACCCAACCCGATAATATTAATATTAAGTGTGTGTGGGGGGGTCTTTGGGAATTGTAAATCATGAGGGCTCCATTCTCATGAATGTATTACTGTCCATATTAAAGGCACTTAGGGAACCACCTCTCCCGACTTTTGCCATGTGAGAACATATCAAGATGTGCCATCTAGGAGCAGAATAAGCCCTGACCAGACAACATATATGTATGTACCTTTACCTTGCTCTTTCCAGATTCCAGAATTGTAACTTACAGCAACACATGTTTATTGTTTGTAACTTATTCAATCTAAGGTATTTTGTTATAGCAGCCCTTAAGTAACTAAGACAGTGCCATAACTTCCTTTCTCTTATAGGAGTTGTCCTGACATTCAAAGATTACTGGAACCCTAAAAGCATTATCCACAGGGTAACATCTTAAATCTTTGAAGCAGTTATCTAACAGCCCCTGGATTGTATACATCTTACATCAGGTCAATATAATAATATTTGACATAGAGTGGTCCAATACAATGTTTCAAAGTGATTTTGGACCTTCAAATGCTATGTTGAAAGAAAGCAGGAGAGTCAGCATTGCTTTGGGGTGAAATGGACACAAGAACTATTTTGATCCTTCTTCTTAGGCACTAAAAATAGTGTAATTGGCAAATCAGAGATTTCATGGTATATAATAGAGCCTTTGTAAAGCTGATCTAGAGGAAAATACAA